TACTTTAAAATAAAGCTCAAATAAGTCAGAACTGTGAGTCATTCTGGGTGTGACTGTATGAAGACACTAGTGCAAACATGCTTTCACCATCATACAGTAGGGCTGGTGTATTTGGTTTTGTGCCATGTTTTCATTTGAAGTTAAAGAATGCCAGTTATGAATCTGCAAACCACAAGATGCTCTTGCAAAAGATTTTAGGTTTGGCTTAGAGAGTTTCTTCCCACACGTGTTTAACACGTTTCCAGTAGTTTTGCATTTGTTTGTGGACACACATATATATATATATATATATGGATTGCACATAAAGTAACCTTATACTATATTTAAATGAATTCATTATATTATACTGGAATATATAGTCACTATGCACTGTAAAAAATCAGAAGTTGAGCAAACTTAAAATTTTAAGGCAACCAGCTTCAACAGATTTTTAAGTTTACTCAACTTAAAGGTCAATTAGTTGTACAAACTTTTGTGCATGTTTAATCAACATAATATATGAAGTTAAGCAAACTTTTAGTTAAACTTCCAATTTTGTGTTTAGTTGACTAGAAATATGGAGTTTTTATAATTTAGAAATGTAAGTTTACAAAACTTGATAGTTGAAGTCGTTGTAAAAAATCAGAAGTTGAGCAAACTTAAAATTTTAATGCAACCAGCTTCAGCAGATTTTTGAGTTTTCTAAGTTTAGATTTTTTACAGTGCAGTTTCAGGACTTAAGATTTTACTCAACCTGAGTTTTAAGTTCAGCACAGAAATGTCAATCCAATATGAGTGAATTTATTAAATGCTACTCGGTACAACATTGGTCCTCAAAAAAACAATCTTTAAATGGGCACAACCACAACCTTTTTATTGCATCAATGATTTCTTTGTAGAACAGCAAATTTATCGGTAATGTTTCAAAAGGACCTCCTGAGCAGGTTGTTCAAATCTGCATATCTTGCACTGCATCACCCTAATGAGAAAAAATAAACAATACAATGGTAGAATGAATTCTTTGGGCAACAACATAAGATTTTATTGATGTTTTTACCACAAGGGATACATGAATTTAATGCTAGAGAACATTATTAAAGAAGAACAACTTAAAATACCATCATAAAGCAAGCAAGAAAACAAATATTAAATATGAGCTGGTTGAACGAATATCACATTTTTAAAACCTACTATGATTTTAAGCTTTAAAATAGCTCTTAAATTATTAGCATTTTTAAAACATACAGATACAGATTTATAGTACACTTAGCATACATAAGCTACACAAATACTTTGCATTTAACAAGCAAATAAATGTAAATTAAGTTAAATGAAGAAAATGCACCTTTGGGACAAAAACACACAAGCGTATATTGTTAAATTTGTAAACAATACATTGCAAAACTTTTTTTTCGTCTTAATACATTTAGAACTTCAATGACCTTATCCAAAACTCAAAGGCACCCTTTTTACCACAAGGGATACATGAATTCATTGCTAGAGAACATTATTAAAGAAGAACAACTTAAAATACCATCATAAAGCAAGCAAGAAAACAAATATTAAATATGAGCTGGTTGAACGAATATCACATTTTTAAAACCTACTATGATTTTAAGCTTTAAAATAGCTCTTAAATTATTAGCATTTTTAAAACATACAGATACAGATTTATAGTACACTTAGCATACATAAGCTACACAAATACTTTGCATTTAACAAGCAAATAAATGTAAATTAAGTTAAATGAAGAAAATGCACCTTTGGGACAAAAACACACAAGCGTATATTGTTAAATTTGTAAACAATACATTGCAAAACTTTTTTTTCGTCTTAATACATTTAGAACTTCAATGACCTTATCCAAAACTCAAAGGCACCCGCACAATTGTACAAAATGAACATATTATAAGCAAATAAAGTAAATTATAAATCCTTAACCCTAATCCAAATCATTTTACTTAATATAGCGTTACATAAAACAGTAACGTTACTTACCCAAGTCATGACACTGTCGGGGAAAAACTGGCATCGCAAGTCCACGTCTGTATACAAAACAACATATTTAGAAAAAAAAAATTGTTTTCGTAAGTTATTATACAAAGAGTAGCACCTACCGGAGCGATTATGTTAACGTTAAAATACACTGTCGGGAATAAACAGGCGCCGTCTGAGCGGAGGCAACTCGGGGAAAACTGAACTCACTAGAAGCCACCTAACGATACTTTGTGAAGAAGTGCATATTGTGAACAAATTTCATTTAAATCATATCTTAAATTGATACACATAGAACGACACTCACGGAGCGACCACAATGACGGAATAAACGGGCGCCACTTGAGGCAACTCGAAAATGAAGCGGGAGAAATTAAAATGGCGTTGGATATAAAAAAGTGATCGAACTGCGCATGCTCATCAGCCTTTGTGGGCAATACTTATAACAAACTTAACGTTGTTAGTTGTTCCAACTTTAAATATTAATTTGGTCAAACAAATTGGTCTAAATTTCTTTTATGTGTTATCTCAACTTTTTTAATGTTAAATAGTTGAATAAACTTTAAAAACTGAGTTTGTAATACAAAATGTAAGTTGGATTGTTTTACTGTGTGTGTGTGTGTGTGTGTGTGTGTTTAATATCAGGTTGCTCCAGTTGCATTATTAATGTAATACTGTAAATCACTGTGGATAACAACATCTGACCAATGACAGCTTGCTTTTTACATTACTTATATTTAATTACTAAATATAACTGAGCATTGCCTACATTATATATATTATATATATAAATTAATGTGTCTTTGATCATTTGCACAAATTATTTTGATTTATTATTTTTTGGTTATTTCTCCGTTTACAAATATGGTTATATATATATACACACACACACACACACACACACACACATATATTAATAAATTAATCTAATTAATATCTGATGTGTGTTTTCTATGGAATATTTTCTAGATTGTGTCATAATTTGAGTTCATATTTGTTAATATTCATTTACAGTCAGGCTGACGCAGTTGTGAAATCACTTACCTGCTTTAAAATAAAAAATAATGCAGAGTTGTGAGGGAGTGACTGTGTGAGGTTTGTGAATACATGATTTGGCCCTCAAGAGCTGGTGAAATCAGACTGTTGCGCTACCAAATATTTTGTTTTAAATAGAAGTCAAGATGTTCCTGTAAAATATTTCAGGTTTTGTTTGACTACACATTTGACTAATTAATTTGCAGTTGTTTTACAACTGTCTGTGGTTATTCATTAAAAAAGTAAAATAAAAAATAAAAAATCTGTATCAGATTGTACCTAAATGTAGCCAATTAAATACATTGCCTGGCCAAAAAAAAGGTTGATGGGTTTAAATAAGGATTGAAATGCAACATCGACATGCAACGTCACAACATTTATTTCCATCAAGAGTTGCATTAATTTTTAGCCGAGATCTTGTATTGACTATGGGAGTTGAACTGCTCTGTAAAGTCGAATCCAGCATATCCTCAAGACAGTGACTAACTCATACATGAAAATCATTCCTCATGCTCCCTGAACCACTATTTCCCAATTTGAGCCTGATGAATCTTGACATTGTCATCCTGGAATATGGACATGGGTGTGTCTTCCAACATACTACATCAGTAAGGGTTCAAAGAATTGTTGCCAAACACAAAACATGCCAGAAACATATTAGCCTATTGCACATTAATGCTTGCTTTTTAATTTCTTACTAAACATTAATGCACATTGTATTTAACATAGCCTGTATGCAATCATATGTAGCCTACATCTCACAAAAATACCCAAATTTGTAAAGCAGCTGAGTATTAATAACAACATGCTTTTAAAAACTACCAAATTAAATGTCTAAACACATGATCAAAGACATATATATTATATGATGCAATATCACTTAACATCCCTTTTAGACAACAAATATTGACATGTAACATGTGGACAGAAAAGGTTCAAAGTTCAAAAGAGCTCTATCGCCATCTAGCGATGAAGATGTTATTGAACATCATTCAGCATGATTTTAATACAGGCTCCAGGGCGTTACAATTCTTTTAAGCAGCTTTTATTTTATTAAGGGGTAAATTAAAACATTTAAAAATATTTTATTTTAAGGGGTTTGACAGAAAAAAAAAAATTGCAAATCCTTGCATTACATGGTTTGCAAAATTATTTAAATGACATTTGTGAATATAGTTCAAGATAAATGGTATAACCACACAGTAGGATTTTTAGAAAGGAAAATTTCAAGGAGAAAAAAGAAGAATTAGGGCGAATCATTTAATTGTGACCCTGGAGCACAAAAGCAGTGTTAAGTCGCTGGGGTATATTATGTAGCAATAGCCAAAAATACATTGTATGGGTCAAAATTATAGATTTTTCTTTTATGCCAAAAATCATTAGGATATTAAGTAAAGATCATGTTCCTTGAAGATATTTTGTAAATTTCCTACCGTAAATATATCAAAATGTAATTTCTGATTAGTAATATGCATTGCTAAAAACTTCATTTGGTCAACTTTAAAGATGATTTTCTCAATATTTTGATTTGTTTGCACCCTCAGATTCCAGATCTTCAAATAGTTGTATCCTAACAAACCGTACATCAATGGAAAACTTATTTATTCAGCTTTCGGATTATGTATAAATCTCAAAAAAAAAAAGAAAAAAAGACTGGTTTTGTGGTCCAGGGTCACAATTATGAATTTACTGCCATTGTGTGAATAATATGTAATGATGTAATCCATAAATAAGTAACTAATCTGATTATGAGCATTTTAAAATGTAATATACTCTAATTACGAGTACTTAATTTTTGGAATCTGCCTATCAGTAGCATAAACAAACTAAACGTTGAACAGATTAATCCAAAAATATTTAGATATTTTCCCTTTCTGTAGTCTGTTTTGTGTCAGAACTTAAGAATCAGTGCTGTTAAAGTAAACACAAACAGAAAATTTCACTAGAGCCTTTATTTATCAGAGGAACACATGCAACTAGAATTATCACTTCATCATTACCATCTTCAAGGAGAACAGAAGCGTCCGTAAAACAGAATGCTGTTGGAGGGATTATGACGGATGAAGAAAATAAATGGATGATCTGCAATGAAGGTTTTTGGGTCTAATGGCATTGAGGTTGTAAAACCGACGGTGGCGGTGGCTGCAGCCGCTTCGGTTCCTTCCTCGTTTACTTCAACGAAGGCTTTATGAATCACCTCTGTCAGCACCAGGTCGTTGTTAGGCGACATGCCTGAAAGATTCACCTTCTGCCCATCAAACACATCCTCCATTCCCATGCTGATCAGAAGACTCTTCATGTCATAGGTTTCCTCCATCTTGGATCTGGGCAGAGATACTTCAACTTCCTGTCGAAGCATCTTGCTGGGTTTGGTCCACTCCATGAGCTTCTCGTAGGTCAGTGCCTTTTCAAGCTGGAATCATTTAAAAATACATTAATAATGCATACAGTCATACGGATTCTTCAGTTACTTATATATTAATGCAGCATTAACCAGCAATTCCAAATAATGAAAAAACACACCAAATAATCTGTGCTGTCTCACCTTCTGAAGGCCAGTGGTTTCATCTTGAATCTTGTTAGGAAGGATGATCAACATACTGAGATTCTTCCCGACATACGGCAGCTCCAGAACCTGACTGTTCATCTCTGGGATGAAGGCCAGAGGAAACTTTGATTCCTGATGCATCATCTTCACTGGTTTAGTCTGAGTCTGCAAAGCATAAAGATGTCACAAGTCCTCATATTTCATGACTGTTAAGAATATTTAAAAAAAGAGCTTACTTTGTTCATCTTAAACTGTCCATCACTGGTGGCTTCCTTTGGGAATTTCTTCTCCCAGTTCCCCTTGAAGTAGATGGCGTTCACCAAGACTAGTTTTGTTGCATCATTGACACTTCCTCGTGGCAGCAAATTCTTGATCTTTTCTGAAATTCAAAATAACATGAGCATCGAGCAAATGGTTTGAAATGGAAACTGAGCATTGGTTTGAACTGATTCACACACATGAATCAATTGCATCTCTACTTAAGTCTAGACTAGTTCTTTGGAGTTTTGATATACTTGATTTTGTTAGCAGTATTAAGTTAAACAACACTGTGAATGAAACCATGACTTTAATGCACATTTTATTTAGCTATTAAGTTTACGATTCTATTAGATCTGTGTCATGAGCTTTGAGACAGATTATTTAATAGTTTAACTCATAGAGTTTTCAAGCCAAACATGGTCTTTGAAAAACATTTTGCTGAAAAAAAATATCAAAGAATTAGTATTTGTAGAGTAAGTTTAAAATTCATGCTGGTTTTCACCTTGAGTGTTTTTCTCCACCCATTTGTTGATGTTGACACGCGCAGCCTCTGATTTCTTCTTGAAGTCCACCTCCTCCAGTTCGGCTTTATAGTATGTTTTTGTGTCATTAAGGTATTTCTGTAACAGAGCAAACCTACTGAGGTGAATATTTCCAGAACCTTTCCGTTTAATGCCATGAACAAACCTTGAATTATTTGCTTTGAGTCTTACCTCAACAAACTGGTAGGATTGCTCTCCGTAGAGGCGGTTGGCAAGACTCAACACATACGGGGCTCCTGGTTTCTTCAGTTCACTCATGAGCTTGTTGAAGCTGGAATGAATTTGGTCCTCTTTAACATGAGGAGCTGGAGTTGCGGCGCCGGGTTTGGGAGGATTGGTAAAGCCCAGGACCTTCACAGTGTTGTCGAGGCAGAAATGATAAAGATAACTTAACTATTCTGATAATTTCAACATCAATAATAAAACGGCCCTTTTTCAGTCTAGAACGGTAAACTGCAATGTCTATAATGTACAGTAAGAGCTACAGGGAGACAGGAAGGACAGCTGATCGTCCTTGTAATGCCAGACCACATGTGACTTTATTACCCTGAGATATATCCGGGAACTGGCAAGTACCTTGGTGGAAGTGTGAAGTAACATCTCACAGCAAGTACTGGCAAATCTTTCTCAGTCCATTAAGATGAGATGCACAGTAGAGCTTAAAGCAGCCGGTGGACACACCACATCCTGACTGCTACTTTTGAAATTGACCATCACTCTGTTCAATAATTATTCCATTTATGTTCACCAAATTTCTGTGAAATTTGTTCCATTTATGTCTCAGTTGTTGAATCTTTTTATGTTCATACAAATACTTAGATATAATAAGTAATTTGATGGAAAAAAGCACTTGAAAGTGGGAGGATGTTACTTTTTTTGCTATATATATATAATTCTATTCTGAACAACTGGCTATAAATGTGTGAGATCACCTTAAACATCTGCACCGCTGGGTTTCCTTTTGCTCCGAGCAACACCATGGCCAGAGCCGAAGAGATGCTGATCGGAGAGTAGAACACATTTTTTGAGGTGTTTCCTCCGCTGATCTTCTTGAACAGGTTTAGAGAGAACTGTGTGTTTGCTGCAGATAAACGCTCCATTTTCACGAGCTGAGCAAGAAATAGCAGTTGTTTAAATAACAGCAGATTTTAAGTTAGACACATATTCTTCATTAACACACGCTGTTAGCTTTATTAGATCTGTTTTAATCAATAATGCATATTACGGAGTACATTTCATATACAGCAAAGTACCTTTAACGGAGTTCAGTAAAATCATTACCTGGAATAATCAGCAGAAATGATGAAGTTTCCCAGTGTGTCTGAGTTAAATGAATGGCCAGTTATGGGTGTCAGTTTAATAAATGATGCCTCACCCTAAAACAAATAGCCTTTAATCCAGGTTCAGCCTTCCTGTAAAATACAAATGATTGTTTCTCTAATATTAACTGATATACTTAAATTGAGTGATTCATTCTTCATTTCACTCTTTGTTTACAGTAAATTAAGAGTGTGTAGGTGTAGAAACAAAAGCTGAGTACAAGAAAGATGTTTAATCATGTTTAATCATAATGTCTGTACAAACCAATAACGGATTAGCTGATGAGGGTGGAATTAGGCATCTCTGTGACACTTTTTAGATAAGAAACCAAATTAAAAAATAATAATCCTCATAACCACAAACCCCAAGAACAACTGCTTTTCTAAACAACATTTAGTTAGTTACACTTATTAACACTTCATGTAGTGATCGTGATCTATGTAGTTTTTACTATGTGGGCATGTCAGATGTTTGGTTGCGTAAAACAGCTCATGTGTTGTGGATACATGCCTCATGAAACACCTTTTCCTTAACTGATATAATTATATAATTATATATAAATATAGCCTATTATGTACTGGATACAGGGATGGGCAGTATTTCAGATAAATGTATGTAAAATACGTATTTGAAATACAAAATACTATTTTGTATATAATGCTGCCTTCCAATTCCAGTGCCACAGAGGACACCAGAGGGGGTCTGAATACTTTCCGTACCCACTGTATATATATATATTTGGAAAGCCAAAATGTATTGAAGATATTTAATTTGGAATAAAATGTAGTGTCCCATTTGTTGACAACCATATAAACATCCAGAGCCCTATTTAGTCAGCTTGCTAACAATTCTGAATGTTCAGCAATATGCATGCTATTTTGCTGCGTATAAAGCATACAAAATGCTTGAAATGGTTATTCATATACAGTATGTAAGATATGCACTACTTTAACATAGCTTTTGTGGGGGGGAAAAGGCGATAAAGTGTACCCACATTGTTTTTGCCTTAGCCATATTTAAAATTTATGGCACCCCCAACTTGGGAACTGAGGTATCAAAATTATCTCTGAGTTTACCAGTAGTAAATATGACAATGACGTTCATGTCCCAGTTCCAAATAGGGAGCTTATAATTATTCATAATAATTCCAATAGCTTGTGAGGGCAGCATATTTTACATACATTACTGCTTGCTATGGCTGAGGGATATGTATGCAATATATATGTGGGTGAGTAATAAAGTGTGAATTGATTTAACTTTTTCTATATCGTTTATATATCAGGGTATGCAAATATATCTGTGCAGCTTTTAGTGGGCATGGGGTTACTGGCACGTTAGGGGTGTCCAATCCTATTCCTGGAGGAGTTTAGCTGCAACCCTAATCAAACACACCTGAACCAGCTGATCAAGTTCTCACTAGGCATACTAGAAACTTCTAGGCAGGTGTGTTGAGGCAAGTTGGAGCTAAACTCTGCAGGACAGTGTCCCTCCAGGAGTGAGTTTGAACAGCACTGTCTTAGAACGATAAAGAAACATGGATAAACGAGCAAGTAATGCAAAATCAGTGAGTGCTTGATATTAAAAAGAGTTGAGTGGAATATGGCGTGAAAGAGAACTCTTAAGTAGGCTGGTTTTCTGTGTGCACCCCAAGACAAAGATAACTATAACAATAACAATAAAGATGTTGGTGAAAATCAAGTTTTTAATGTTGTTTATATGTCTATGTGGCACTTTTAATATGCTTTGAGACAAACCACGTGCAAATATATCAGTCAACACCTTTGCTGAGTAATTTCTCCTTAAAACTTCAGAGTACCAAAGAAGGGCAAAAGAACCGCTCCTGTTTCCTATACCATCACAAAGAGGTAACCAATCCTGTCAACATGAGGGGCGGGACTAATGCTGCCTTCCAGACAGATCGGAATTTGGATTTTTCCTACTTCTTGGTAATCTGGAACGCCACTCAAAGTGGGACATTTCGATCTCTGAACTTGGGGTACATCTTCTACTTTCATTTTTGCCTTTTATCAGCTGTTAACACCACCATGGTGTGCAAACATGCGCCAGCCTGACCTACCGCCGTATAAGCTTTCCCAACCAGACTCGATGTAAGCCTAACGGGCCTGGTGGGAAGCTTCGGGGCCTTCAGGGACGATGCTGAGGATGGGGAGAGATAGCTCGAAAGCGTCTGCTCAACCACTGGCATCGCCCCATATACCTTATCATTCAGCCCCACGATGTTCTTTGAATAATTCGAGACTGTGGGGCTGTAATACGGGATGAGTACGGTTTCTCCCACGATCTTGCACTCAGCATGGAGATCGGGAAAAACAGAAGGCCCCCGTCGTGAAGGCTGTGATCTGGATTCAGAACATGCTCGTCTAATTATTTTTAGGACGAGCGTCCTGTTTCATATACACAGAGCGCTACTGAAGGGCAGAAGCTGGTTTGCGCCCGGCCGGATGTGCCTTTATGCTTTCTGGTGCTTACGTCACCCTGCTCGTGACGTCTCGCTACTCCATTGGACGGATTTGACACGTGCTTCAGAACGCGGTCACGCAAGGGCGTTCCCAAAGCGACTCGACGCAGCTCGAGTTCCTGAAGGGGAACCGATTTTATGTTTATTCTGTTTTTGGCATAATTTACCCAAAACCATGACAGGCTGTCAGGCGACATCACATGGTCAACATATGAATGTGAGAACTCACTGAGGTCTGAAGTGGGACATTTAATTTGAACGCAGCATTACTCCCCTGCATCTCTACGAGGTTCAAAGGGTTTGTGGATGCTGATTTTTAGAAGTCAGCTGTCTGATTCTGAGATGACCACCCTAGTAAAAAAGTACATTTATTTCATAATAAGTAATTAACATATGTACTGACATATCGCTCGAGACTTACTGAAATAAAAATTATAATTTAACTTTATTTGGAGTACTACTTGTGCACAATGCACATTTCTTAATATTAAGCCTAAAATGTGTTTTAATATCACTATTAATAAGGATTATATGACCTCTGTATAATAACTTAAATGCATATTTAAAGTGTACCTAAGGTATACTTGCAAAATTTCCACTTTAGCACAATCAAGTTAAAAGTTTAAAGCGACAGACGACATAACTGCATCGCATGTTTAGAATACGCTATTATAGTAATCTTTATAGTTATCATTTTTGGTGTGAATGGGCCTTAATAGTGATACTTCACTGGATGGCCAGTTTCACATGAACTTTGTGGAATTTCAAAATACAAAACACCGTATTTGTATTTAAATACATTTTCTTTCCTCACAGTATTTTATATTTTTATTTTAAATACATTTTCATGTATTTACGCCCATCCCTGACTGTATATAATTACTCTAGTGAATTGAGATGCTACTACAGTGGCCATTTAAGTCAAGAGACTATGCTAGAGGTTTTATTTTTCCTCCAACTCTATCACAAGGGTTTGTTCACTAGGGGGGCTCTAACATATCAATATCAATAAATTCAATATAACCAAACTGGTTTGGGAGTTTTAGAGAATTTTCCTTATATAAAGTAACCTATTAGCCAAAAACAAATGGATATTTTTCCATTCTGTAGCTAGTTCAGAACTCAGTACTCAATTATTTATGTACTTTATATATACTCAAGTTCAATCAATTATTTAATAGAACCTTTATTTATCAGAGGAACACATGCAACTAGAATTATCACTCCATCATTACCATCTTCAAGGAGAACAGAAGCGTCCATAAAACAGAATGCTGTTGGAGGGATTATGACGGATGAAGAAAAGGAAGGGATGATCTGCAATGAAGGTTTTCGGGGGTAATGTCATTGAGTATCCTGAGATGATAACGCCTGTGGCTGCAGCCGCTTCGGTTCCTTCCTCGTTTACTTCAACGAAGGCTTTATGAATCACCTTCGACACCACCAGGTCGTTGTTGGGCGACATGCCTGAAAGATTCACCTTCTGCCCATCAAAAACATCCTCCATTCCCATGCTGATCAGAAGACTCTTCATGTCATAGGTTTCCTCCATCTTGAATCTGGGCAGAGATACTTCAACTCCTTCTTGAAGCATCTTGCTGGGTTTGGTCCACTCCATGAGCTTCTCGTAGGTCAGTGCCTTTTCAAGCTGCATAATAAGGGAGTCGTGTTAATGGTCATGTGTCTATTAGTATGAAATGAGGTATCAGCATCAATGATGTGATAATTTTTGTGTTCGGATAGATCGTTTCAAGAATACATTATGCAATAAAATTATACAAAATGCAAGTCATGCAAATAGAAACTCGAATACAACTCTTCAATAACTTATACATTTATGCAGCACTAATCATGTAAATTATACAGTGACCGAGATAACTCGTCACTGCAACTTAAGAAAACACATGCAAATAAAAAAGCACCAGCAAATTAAGAAAACATCTTCATCAGTTTGACAACACATGCGCTGCAAATACTAACAACGCAACCAAATACAGAAAAGCATTGCAAGTAGCACAGACCACAGCGGACATGTTTCAAGGGGACCCCAATAACCCTTAGGAAAGTTAACAATGGTTTTATTATAGTCAAAGTGTAGTAGCCATGTCTTTTGGTGTATTGATTACCATTTGTATAACCACAGTTGTACAAATACCATGGTTAAACTATGGTTAATAAAGTGAAAAAAGTAAGTTAGCCAGCTTACACAATGCTTCCCAGTTACAGTAACTGTGTATTTCATCAGCTTATTTAGGCTAATAATATCCCTCCAAAAAAAAAAAAGCTAAGGAGTCATATGTGACCCTGGAGCACAAAAGCAGTGTTAAGTCGCTGGGGTATACAGTATTTGTAGCAATAGCCAAAAGTAGGTTGTATGGG